ACGCTGCTCACCAGCTTAACCTGTGGCCACGCTCCCAGCGGCCGCAGGTTTCGCCGACCCTCCTTTGGACCGGGTCCCCCAGTGATGCGTCTGCGTTCCACGTCTAGGGCTGCCTTGCTCACGTTCGTGCCTCTGGCACGGACAAGCTCACTGCCCGCACTGTCCCCTGTGTCTTCCTCGGTTTCCCCCTGGACTCGTCTGACTGGCTTTTCTACCACCCGCCATCTCACCGCTTCCTCCACTCTCTTAACGTCACCTTTGACGAGTCTGTCTCCTTCTACCGCCGATTCCCTTACCGAGGTCTCCCGGTTGCCCCGCCCCTGTTCCTAGCTCCCTCTCCCCCGGTAGCCCCTGCTCCTCTCCCGCCTCGTCCTGCCCCGTCAGGTGTCTCTCACGTTACTCCCCTCCGTCGATTGTTCCCGTTGAGGAGTCTGCTGACTCTGGTGGTCCCCCCGGCCTGTCCCTGCCGCGTCCCCCTTTCCCGGTGTCTCTGCCTTCCCTGCCGCAGTCGCCGTTGCCGCCCCCACTGCCGCCGTCGCAGTCGCAGTCACCGCCACCGCCGCAGCCGCCGCAGCCGCCGTCGCTGCCGCCGCCAATGCCGCTGTTGGCCTCTGGGGGTGCTGGTGTTGAGGAGGGTGTTCGCCCTGCGGCTCCCGGGGGTGCCGCTGGAGTTGGAGGGGGTTCTTGCTCTTGGGGTGTTGGTTCTGGGGGTGCTGCTTTTGAGGGTTCCGCCGACAGTCGTCCTGCCTCTGCCGGTCCGAGGGTTCCGGCCCAGCTGTTGCAGCAGCCGCAGCAGCCGTCGTCGCCGGTCTCCGCTCTCCGCTTGCTCGGCCTTCCCTCCCCGGACCGCGCGCCGGTGTCTCCCCCACCGCCTGCTGACCTTCCTGTCTACGGTCCTGTGTTCCCGCCGCCGGACTCGTCTCCGGCACGTCTTGCTCCTCGTTCCCCTCCTGTGTCCTCTCCGCTGTCCCCTGACCCTACTCCTCCGTCTCACGTTTGGGCTCGCCGTCCCTCCTGTGCTCGTCCCGTCTCTCCTGTCCTGCCCACCCACCCTATGTTGCTCCGTTCCCGCTCGTCTCGTCCTCTCCTCCTCCCGTCCCCTCCTCCCTCGTCCCTTGCTGTTGCACCTCCTCCGTTCTCTGACTACCTCCGTGCTGCTCGTCCCCTTGTCCCTCGGGTCCTTGCCTCTCTTGTTACCGACCTTGCTGTTCCTGTCTCGCGCCTTGACGCGTTTGTCGCTGCTGTCGCTGCCTTCGCCTCTACCGGCCGCCTTGACTACGCTACCGCTCTGGTCTCTGACCCTGCCCGTCCTCCGTCCGTCGGGGGTGCTCCTGCCCTTGGCAGTGACGTCCTAGAGGACAGGCAGTACGAGCTTGCTTTCCTTTCTGAGGCTGCTCCCCATCTCTGCTCCATGCTGTTAGTCCCTGAGGGTGACCCAGACGCCTTCGACATCCCGACCCCTCGCACCTACGCCGAGGCCACCTCGGGACCTTTGGCCTCACGGTCCTTCTTGTTGGCCTTGGACCCGAATGGCGACAAACGCGCGCCTTTCTGCGTCTGAGCCCGAACCTCTCCGAAGCTGAGATTTCTTCATATCTTGAAGCGGAACAACAAGATCTTGACCTGCAGTCACAACGCAACAAAAGGGGGGATATACAATTCAGTTTCTATTCAACACCAACACGACGTCCTCAATATTTTTGTTACAATTGCAACAAGGGAGGGCAATCTACTATCCGATGCTACTTTAGCAAGAGGTATTTACCTCATGAAGAAGCGCAGCAGTCGAAATCATCACAGCCGCTACGACATCCTTCAAAGCAATCTTTGCAGCATCCTACTTCTCCAAACACAGCATCTGCAACATCAACAAGACCAAGGTCACTCAGTTGAGCTCCTCCAAGCACGACATCCAAGCCGCTCGATATTCATTCAACCTCTACCAACAAAACGGTAACCTCAAAGTTTTACTTACCTACTGGAAACACTCACATTGCTGGTTGCAGTTCAGATACTGATACTTGGTACTTGGATAGTTGTTGAGGCCATCATATGGTCTCTTCAACAAATCCTTTCATCTACAACCGTCGTCGACTTCTTCAACCCTGCCCAATCACACTCGCCAACGGTCAAACAATTGCAGCATAAAATATCGGCAGTGTCCTTTTGACATCAATCGATACAGGAAACTCTTTACGTCTTACCAACGTTTTACTCGTCGACAACCTCGGCTTCAATTTAGTGTCGACTAACCAACTCTTGAAGAAGAAAATCCGCACGGTCGGAAACTGCATGACACAAGAACATGAGTTAATACATGATGTGGACTACACGTACATCAGGAAAGCAGCAACAAAAAATGGCGTATTCGTTTTACGCTTCAAGGCAGCAAAACCTTCTGAAGATGCCGCTCCTCTTCAAGCTCCATCCATCATCGCAGCAATAGCTTTGGTAACCACTCCACCAATGGACTTCAGCAACATCGAAGAAGAAAATCCGAGTAGCAGCACCACCGACATCCTTGCCGACACACCTGCCGTTAATATCAAAGAAGATATTAGTCAAGAAGACGAGGAAACTCTGCGACTCGCACCTGAAATATTTTTCGACGCTACAACCAGTCTCGACAAGCCTTCTGACAATTCTTCAACCACCAGTCTTCAAGATAAAGGTTATGCACTCTCAAGGTTTTTACTGCCTTCATATTTCATACTCTTACTACTTGCTTGGCTGGCCATAGCAGAAAGCGAGCTCAGTTCCCCCCTGCAGACTTTCCTATACTACAGAGAAGCCGATTACCACACTACGACCTCCAACGACTACGAGCAAGGCATGGACATCCACTGCTACCAAACCCCTCGTCATCGCGTTCAACAATGCAACGAAGCAGAACGGTTGAATAGTATCCTACACGAGCTACGTGAGCAGCTGCATGCACTGCTGACTCAACAAATTTCTCTGCCCGAAACTGCACCATCAGATCTGCCCGTCACTTCACGGTTCTTTGGCAAGCCTCCAAATGATGTCGAGGCTCCTCTCGTGGTTTTGCATTCGTCCCCTTCGGCCTTGCCACGTTCATTGGTGCAACCCCAACCACTTTCAACCCGACTCATTTTTTACTCCGCAGAAGTGAGGGGGGGAAGGAGGATCTACACGCACTTCGTCAAAGCCAAAATTCGTCATCAACAAGGGAAGAACGCGATAGGTACACCATTTGACCAATGGAATGACTGCCGACTACTTACATTACATGAAGTTTACACGTCACAAGATTCCAAATTGCAGATTTCATTCGTCGGACTCCAACCACGACGTGACTACATCGAACTTCCAGGAATGAAGGGGAGTGTTGTGATAAATGAAGTTTTGCATTCCTGCAAGTTCCGTTTTTGGTGTAGTTAGCAGTATCAAGTTTCTCGGTAAGGAAATAGGTCCGATTGCTGACGTCAGCAAATCATCGCGCGTCTCATTGATAACGCCAGAATGACGCTTCAATCACGCGACCAGTTGCGACCCTATAGAATGACGAATAGGTCGCATAGCACACAACTAGCCGAACAGGTACTTTCCCAGAAGTATAAATCCTTGTAATGCATTTCTATTATTAACCTTGACTTTCCACTGAATTATGTGCTCAGGCTATTCAACCTTCGACAACCCACAAGTTCATGTGCTCAGGTTCACTCTTATAAGAATTCCGCTGTCTTACTAGTCTACCATTCCAGCAAAGATCCTTGGTTAAGTACTCGTGTTAGCAGATGCTATACCTAGTCTCGTGCAACACCGGTCAAATTATTACATATCCTTAACCGAACCTCGATTTTGTCAGAAACCCAGTCACTAACCACTGGGTTAAAAGGGCTTGTTAAATAGCGGGTAAGTGCGCCCATAGCCCCCCAGGCTCTGCACCTGTGGCCCTTCCCCGAGGATCTTTTCAAGGGTAACCCAGCGGGTCACTCGACAGATTTCCCCCAGTCGTCGTTTGCGAATGTCTGGAACCAGTTCTAATTTTCTTTGCTCGTTCTGATTGGTTTTCGTAATGTGCTGTGCTCGCTCACTCTCGCCACCCTCACACCACTACTCCACGCTCCTATTCTTTCTCCAGCTCATCTTTATTAATCTTGTACATTTTGGGACAACGGCTTTAACGAGGAAAAGTATACACCACAATAATTACACACAATATCTAAATGAGAATCTCAATGACGGATTTCGTCAGCATGTTGTGGCGGTGACAGTCTTGTGCCCCATTGCCACGTCATTTGTACCCAATACTCCACGCCGCGCACGAGTGCTGCGTCCAGGGCAGCAAAATCAACCCACGTGAAGTACGGCAGTACCCGCGGCGCCCAAGTCCACGTGATGGATCGGACGGCTTTTCCTCCTCGTTGGTCCATCTTCACTTCACCTTCGCTTTCGTGAAAACGTGAAGGTTGGGTTGGTTTGGGTCACCCCACCTTCACCCTGACCCAACACGTGGGTGGGTACATCTGATCACAGTGTAGGATGGTGAAGAGCGGTATCAAGCGGTTGATACGACATGTGGCTCTTCAACGCAAAGCACCATGTTCAACCGCTCAAAAGTAGCAGATGGTGAGGCTTTGGTTTGGGACCAGGGCTCTCGGTTCAAGGGTAAACATCCGGAATGTCAGGTACATTCCGGGTCTTTCCCGCTTAAATCCTGGTTTTGAGGGTTTCGGAATCACAAACCTCCTGACTGATTCCGGGCGTTTCCCAGGAACTCTCTGAGAAATCCGGACTGCGCGAAGAATTATCCTGACAATCCGACTGGAATGGAAACCTATGCGTGCCGGAATTGTAACCCCACCCTCCCCCCAATTGCAGCCCTGACCAATTTTCCCCACAATCTGAAGGTGTGACCGTGGAGCTTCCACAACTACAGAAGTGCAGGGCTTTCAGACTATCACAACCCCTTAATATCACCTTAGCCAGGCTTCGCACTGTCCCTCTAAGTTGTACGTATTTCTGTCGCGATTGACAAGGAAAGTGTCGAACTTGGTGTGGTGCTGAGAGACAGCAACAGCAGCAAGTGTGTACTCTGTATTCTTCTCCATCGTTTCTTCCATGGATATCCGTCCTGCTTGTACTCGAAGTGCCCGCAGGTTCCGCCTATATGTAGGGAGTTCCCAAAAACACTCTGAAATTCAGATTGAAAGGTCGAAGTAATCCTGAAATAAAGAGAGATTTTCCTGGGAATGCTGAATTTTCAGGGTATTTAGTGACGCGAATCCTGAGACCGTTTGGTCCTGGAAAACGAAAAAATAGCCCTGTTTGGGACATTCCTGCTCCTCACTCCACACTCACTTCGTACAGAGATCACAGTCACTCACGCGACTAGTCTCAAAACACAATCACAAATGACGAATCAACTCGCCAGCATAACCCGTTGAATGGGTTCACCTCACAAATCAAGAATGGCCACAACAGCTTCTGTCCACACAAACTGCACCAACCAAACCAAAACACAGCTCGTCGTCGATCGTGCATGCCTACTTCTGGTCCAGTCTGTCCCGAGTTTCGTTCAGTTCAGTCAGAACAGAACCTTGACGCGTCCTCCTTCCTCCCCCCCCTGCTGCCGTGCCGAACTTGCGAGCCAAGTTGTCGAGAGAGCTGCCACTTCTACCCTGGCGTTTGTACAATGCGTTCGTCGTCAGCCGCACATCCAGCAGAGCGAATCCTGGAAAGTCTGCCCCAAAAGCCCCGCTCTCTGATTTCAACCAGATTCGCCGACTCCGAGCTCGCGCGTTGCGCACCACTCCTCTCCTCCTCACCCCAGCATTCCTCCGCAACCTCGTCAATTGCCGGCAAACCAGTTTGTCGCGCCGTCAGAATATACACTGTACAGTACATTATGGTCTCGTCTTGACCGTTTGCACTATCTCCAGGAAACACCATCGCAATAACTTATTGCTCCCTCCAGCGTCTACTACAGAACTAGACCGAACGGGTATTTCGGCGACTACTAGTAGCCTCTAGCTACATCTATCTATTGAAGTCCCCAGCCTACTACTCAACGAGTCGCGAGTACTAATCTCTAGCTTCTGTGCGGTCAATCGGCAGCGAGGCGGATACTACTATCCCCGAAAATGAGAGGTGGAATATACATCGAGTGATACGTGACAAGAAAACTGCTTGCATATCATGTCATTTTCGCTCGGAAATCTGCTATGCATATAACCAGCCGTGAACCATTTACATCGCAGAACGAAGCCGCATAGTAGCTCGTATAACGTGCAGGGCCCGTAGTAGTAGTTCTACTGGTACCACTGCGACGTACGCAGTGTAGCAGCGGCCTGCCTGAGGCACGTCCATTCGCCACCTGGCCGGCGTTGTCCACCATGTCATGTTCGGCGAGGCGCCTGATGATGTTCCTCCAGGGTATTTGTCTCGAGCCAACGGGCGAGTAAACACTTCTTACTAGAACGCGTACTGTCTACTTAACGCTGTACTACGTTGTACAACAACGCACCGGGGTTTCTACCCGTGGCCTCCGCAACGAAGGTACTACTAGTGCGCGCCGGGCGACCAGACGATTCCACGTCAGAGCCTGCTAGAGACGGGACGGCAAAAGGTCGAGCTGCTGCGACGACTCAGAAATTGATGGGTAATTGCCTAAGAACGAGCCACAGTAACGCGCCGATCGTTTCCAAGCCCTCTGCGGAAAAGTCGCCGCTCAACTTGAAGGGCCTCGAGTCGTCGATTCAAAAGGCTTCTTCATCCCCTTCCGCCGGCGGCGAAGACAGAGCTCCGCTTGGATCAGCTGAGGCGCCTGGACCCGGTCCGGTCTCTTCCGCCTCCCTTCCCCCAGCTGCAGCCGCCGCGGGGACCGCTACTAGTAGCGCTTCCACCGTTTCTCCGCCCGCGGCAAGCGCGTCCCCCGAGTCGGCAGAAGTAGAAAAATCCGCGAGGCCCGAGGGTCCTAGTAAAGCGCAGGTTTCCGCGCAAGTTGCGCCCGCGCTTCCCCCTGATTCATCCGGGCAGTCCGTGAAAGAATTTTCTCAAGGAGGGGACCATGGCGTTGGCGGGGAGGTGGCTGGCGCGGGCATGGACGGCGGAACGGGGGGCTGGGCGGCGAAATTGGCGGAGCCAGGCGGAGTGAGGAAGGGTTCCGCCAAGGTGCTTCCGCCCACGCCCATGTTCGCGCATCTGGGGAACGTGCGGAAAGCGGGAAGCGGAGCGGCGCACGCGGGGGCGAAGGCACAGGCGCACGCGCTTAAGCCCGCGCGGAACGGGTCGGCCGCGCGGAACGAAGAGGGGGACAGCGGGGGAAGCGGAAGAGAATCGGGCAGACTGTGGGGATTCCGGGGCTCCGCGGGCGGAAGTAGCGGATCGGGCAGGGGCATGGGCGCAGCAGCAGCAGGGGCGGTGGCGCAAGCGCGGGACGTGTGCTCGCTGCACGCGGGGCGCCCCCTGGCGATGATGGGTGCGGGGGATAGAAGCATAGGCGGAGGGGGGAGTGCGGGCGGAAGGGGACCCGCGGCCGGGGCGGGGAGCAAGGCGAGCAGGCGGAGCTTGACAGCAGCGCAGATGTAAGTAGCTGTAATTGGGGAAGGGAGGATTGTAAATGGGCGGTTGGGGTAGGGGGGGTGGGGAGTGGTCAACGGTCTAGGTTCAGAGAACGACTTCCTTGGAAATATGACGAACATCACCCCTCCCTCTCCTTCACCCCTTCCTTTCTGTCAAACAAACCCCAACCCTGCCCACCACTCGCCCGACGCATGGCATGCTCTCCTTCCCTCCACTCCTCTCCGCCATCCCCCTCGCTCCCCAGCAAAAGCAGTTTTCTCAAGGCGATTTTAAAGACATCTTTCTCAGAGGCTTGCACCGCTGCCCTCTCTCTTCTCCCAGCCAGACCCTGCTTCGCCATGTTGTGTCGGTCATCCACATCATGCAATCCTTCAGTCTCCCCCCGACGCCCAGCCAACCCCCTTTCCGTCTCCACGCCCCCCCCCCCTTCGTCCTCCTACCATATTCCAGCAGTCGAGCGAGCGCCATGCGCGGCAGTCACAGCATGTGGGAGTGAGCTGCTGCAATGCCTCTCCCTCCCCCCCCCTACCCCCCAGATCCGAACAGGCGAGCGCCCTGCGCGGCAGTCGCAGCATGTGCGAGCTGCTGCGCGTGCAGCAGCGGGGCAAGGGCCGCCACCTGCTCGTCATGGCGCACGGCTTTGGTGCCAACCACACTGTGAGGGGGGGAGATGGGGGGAGACGGGGGGAGACGGGGGGAGATGGGGGGAGATGGAGGAAGGTGGTGAGGGAAGGGGTGTAGGAGTAGGTGTGGGGAGAGGGGAAAGGAAAGAGGAAAGAGTGTGCGGATTGTGGTAACGAGGGGAGTAGGCTACCCGCAGTGTCAGGGGCGCTGGGGATTGGGGGAGGTGCACAGGAGAGGGGATATGGGGAATGGGGAGGATACTTGTCAGGGCACCTGTGAGCCGTCAGCGCGTTTTCTCGTCTCTGCAGATACCTACGCGTCTCCCCTTCCCCCCACCCCCCCCCCTCCCCCACCCGTTCGTCTCCTTATGCCTTGCTCTCCCCATCAGTCGTCCCCCTTGCGCCCTCCCTTGCGCCCCCCCCTGCGCCCTCCCTTGCGCCCCCCCCTGCGCCCTCCCTTGCGCCCCCCCTTGCGCCCTCCCTTGCGCCCTCCCTTGCGCCCTCCCTTGCGCCCTCCCTTGCGCCCTTGACTTGCTCTTGACTTGCGCCCTCCCTTGTCCCCTCCACCCCCCCCCCCCCAGCAATGGATGGATGTGGTGGAGCTCGTGAGTCCGCACCGCTTCACAGTGTTGCTCTTCGACTTCATTGGCGCACACGGGTGTGCAGTGAGGGGCCTGGAGGGGTAGGAAGGAGAGTGGGAGGGTACGTGGAAAGAGAGGGTCTGGGGAGAAGGGGGTTAGGGGGTGTGTGGGTGGGTGGGTGGGTGCATGGGGTTCTGTTAGTGTGATGCGAGGAGGTGCAGTGCAGCAACTAGTGAGCCGTGTGCTACTAGGAAGGGTACTCCCTACTCGATTGCTTAGCTCTTGCTGCTCTTTATGAGCCGTCTCCCCCCCTTCACCTGCCTCGAATTCTCACACGCCCTCCCCTCCCTTTCCTCCTCACGATCACCTTAGGTCGCAGTACGACCTGTTTAACCCCTCCCTGATTCCTCCCCTCCGCACCCCTCGCCCCCCTCTTCCCTCCCCGCCCATCCCAGGTCGAAGTACGACCTGTTTGACCCGGTGCGCTACGCGTCGCTCAAGGGCTTTGCTGATGACGTGGCTCTGCTGCTGGACGAGCTGGGCATTCAGGTGAGGCGCGAAGGGGAAGGGAGAGAGGGCAATATGAGAGCCCTTGGTATGACTGGCGGGTCGGGTGGCAGCACCTGGCTTTCCAATCCAGCGCTTCGGACATAGTTCCAGTGAGCTCAGTTAGGAAGGCAGTTTAGCAAGTAGGAAATAACAGTTCAAAAAATGCGCGTGCTAAAACCCTTGATATGACTGGCGGGTCGGGTGACAGCACCTGGCTTTCCAATCCAGCGCTGCTGCTGGACGAGCTGGGCATGCAGGTGAGGTGAGGCGCGAGGGGGAAGAGAGGGGGGCCTTGAGGTGCGGCGGGTAGGTGTGGTGGTTGGCTGGGGTGGGGTGACCTGAGGGTGACCTGAGGGTGACTTGAGGGTGACTTGAGGGTGTAACAGCAGGTTGGCGGGCATGGTGCTGCTGCTGCTCGCACTGCAGCGACTATGCCCAACTACACTCACTGTCTCTCTTTGTCACTCACACTCTCATGACTCCCTCTCTTTGTCACTCACACTCTCATGTCTCTCTCTCTTTCTCACTCACCCCACCAGGCCTCCTCCTCCGCGTGGCAGGAGGTGACGTTCATCGGGTACCAGCAGGCGGGCATAGTGGGGTTGCTGCTCGCACTGCAGCGCCCAGACCTCGTTCACAGAGTCATCACACTCGCTGCCTCACCCAGGTGGGCACGTGGGCACGTGGCACGTGGGCACTTGGGCACGAGGGCACGTGGGCACATGGGCACGTGGGCACATGGGCACGTGGGCACGTGGGCACGTGAGCACATGGGCACGTGGGCACATGGGCACGTGGGCACGTGGGCTCGTGGGCACGTGGGCACGTGGGCATGTGGGGGCATAGGGACAAAGTTACGCATGTGATGCCACCACTGCTTGCTGCTTGCTGCTGCACCCACAGCAGCGGCCAAACCTTGTTCACAGAGTCATCACTCTCGGCTGCATCGCCCGGGTCGAATGGCACGGCGGATTGGGGAGGATTGGGAAGGTTTGGGAAGGTTTGGGAAGGCTTGGGGCGGTTTGGGGAGGATTGGGGAGGATTGGGGAGGGTTGGGGAGGATTGGGGAGGATTGAGGAGGATTGAGGCGGATTGGGGCGGTTTGGGGAGGTTTGGGGCGGATTGGGGAGGCTTGGGGCGGATTGAGGAGGGTTGGGGAGGTTTGGGGAGGTTTGGGGCGGATTTGGGAGGTTTGGGGAGGTTTGGGGAGGTTTGGGGAGGTTTGGGGCGGATTGGGGAGGTTTGGGGCGGTTCGGGGAGGTTTGGGAAGGATTGGGGCGGTTTGGGAAGGATTTGGAAGGATTGGGGCGGATTGGGGAGGTTTGGGGAGGTTTGGGGATGTTTGGGGAGGATTGGGGCGGTTTGGGGAGGGCTGGGGCGGACTGGGGAGGCTTGGGGCTGTTTGAGGAGGGTTGGGGAGGATTGGGGAGGTTTGGGGCGGATTTGAGAGGGTTGGGGAGGTTTGGGGCGGATTGGAGAGGTTTGGGGCGGTTTGGGGAGGTTTTGGGGCGGTTCGGGGAGGTTTGGGAAGGTTTGGGGCGGATTGGGGCAGATTGGGGAGGTTTTGGGGCGGTTTGGGGAGGTTTGGGGTGGATTTGGGAGGTTTGGGGCGGTTTGGGGAGGTTTGGGAAGGAATGGGGAGGATTGGGGCGGTTTGGGGTGGTTTGGGGTGGTTTGGGGCGGATTGGGGAGGTTTGGGGAGGATTGGGGAGGATTGGGGCGGAGAAGGTCAGTCATGTAAGTCAGTTACTCTGCTGCCTTTGTTTCCTCCCTTCCCTTACCCCCTTTCCCTTGCTCTCGTTTCCAAGTCCTTTGTTGAGTCGACTAAAAAATCATCCTCACCTGCCCATCTTACTCACACTCTCTTACCCACCCTCTCCTTCCCCACCCTCCCTCCCCCTTACCCCTTTCCCCCGTCGCTTCCCCAAGTCCCCCTTGTGGGGTATGCATGTGGCTGCTTGCTGTAGGCATGTTTGAGACTTGTCAGATCCGTTTCCCCACCCATCTCCTAAGCCCTTGTTTCTAAAACCTCCAACCATAAACCCCTTTGTGCCCCCCAGGCTGCTATCGGCCGTGGGGTATGCGAGTGGCTTCGAGCTGCAGGACCTGGACCAGGTGTTTGGCGTCATGCAGTCCAACTATGCGGTGAGGGGAGGGGGCGGAGGAGAGGTGCAGGTGTGAACAGGTGCGAACAGGTGTGAGCAGGTGTGAGCAGGTGCGAACAGGTGTGAGCAGGTGTGAGCAGGTGCGAACAGGTGTGTGTGGGGGCAGGGGTTGTCGCCCCGCTACTGAGCTGCAGGACCTGGACCAGGTGTTTGGCGTCATGCAGCCCAACTATGCGGTGAGGGGTGGAGGAGGGGGAAGGGGGATGACGGGGTTGGGTGAGGGAGATTACAAGGGGAAGGTGGAGGGGGATTACAAGGGGAGGGGAGGGGCATATTACAAGGGGTGGGGGAGGGGGATTACAAGGGGAGGGGAGGGGGATTACAAGGTGGGGGGGGAGGATGTGGAAGGAGAAGGATGTTCGACCTGGACCGCGTGTTTGTGGTCATGCAATCAAATTATAGGGCGCCAAGTGAGGGGAGGGGATGGGGGAGGTGGGAGGTGGGAGGTGGGAGGTGGGAGGTGGGAGGTGGGAGGTGGGAGGTGGGAGGTGGGAGGTGGGAGGTGGGAGGTGGGAGGTGGGAGGTGGGAAAGTGGGAGACTGGGGGGGGAAGGAGGCGAGTGTGGGAAGGAAGGGGTGTTAGAGCTGCAGGGTCTGTCTGGACCGGGTGTTTGGGGCCTTGCAGTTAAATAACGAGGTGATAAGTGGAAGGGGTTTACTGGGGAGAAGGGGGGGGTAGGGGGGGGGGAGATGTGCCTACGGACCAAGGTTTCCGTGGAAAAGCTACTAGTACGTCAGTATGCGTGTGGTGAGGTGACCCACAGAGGTGACCTCCTTTGAGACGACTCAAAAGTCTGTGGTGACACACCTCGCCAGTATGCCTGTGGTGAGGTGTGGTGACGTGACACACTGACAGTCCACTTCCACAGACGGCAACCACCTCCACTCTCCCGTCTCCTCCGCAACCCGTCTGTGGGATACAAGTCTACTTATGAGGGCCTCAAAACTATACTTTATCTTCTCCCTCCACAACCCATCCCCCCCCTTTTCCGCCCAATCCTCCCCCCCCACTGCACACATGCTCCCTCAGGTGTGGGCGGCGGGGTGCATGCCAGTGCTGGCAGTGGACGACACCCGTCTGCTTCACCCCCAATGCACCGCACTTCCCATGTCCCTCACTCCGTTGCACAACCCAACACCCCCCCCCCCCTCTCTACCGTCTTCCCCCGCCTTTCCCCTCATGCATGTGTAATGAGTCGATTTTTGAGTCGACTCAAAAATCCTTCCCCCTCATGCATATGTGGGCAGTACGGTGCATGCGGCAGCCGACGACATCTGTCTGCCCCACGTGGGAGACTCCACTGACCATTCATGTGTGCCCCATAACGCCCCCCCCCTCCCCCTCCCCTCCCCCTCCCCTCCCCCTCCCCCTCCCCCTCCCCCCCTCCAACCCCGCCCCCCCTCCATCACGGCACATCAGATGTGGGCAGCAGGCTGCATGCCCGTGCTGACGATACCACTCTCCCATGTCCATCCTCCTCCCCCCACCCACCCCCCTCGCGCCCCCTCTTCTCCCTTCCCTCCCTCCCCGCCCCCCCCCGCCCCCCCCGCCCCCTCCCCCTCTCCCCCTCTCCCCCTCCCCCCTCTCTTCAGATGTGGGCGTCGGGCTGCATGCCGGTGCTGACAGCTGACGACATCCGGCTGCCGCACGTGCGCGACTTCACCCGCCCGCTCTTCTCCCTGCGCCCCGACGTCGCCTTCGCGCTGCTTAAAACCACCTTTGCATGCGACGTGCGCGCGGTTCTGAAAGAGGTGAGAGGGATGCATGGTGTAGAGTCCCGAGTGTGGCCATGCATGATTCAGAACCCCGGGCTGGTGCTACACGCCCTTCACCCCCGGGCATGGCTCTGGTGCTGAAGGAGGTGAGAGGGTGGGCAGGAGAGAAGGAGAGGGTGGGCAGGTTTCACAAGCAGGTGGTGAGAGGGTGGGGCTTCACCTTAGCGTCCGCCTCTCCCTGCGCACTTGTGCTGGCTTTGCGCGGGCAGCAGGTAAGCATATGCGCGGCGACTTTTAAGCCGACTCAAAAGTCACCTTAGGTAAGCACGTGCGTGGGCAGCATGTAAGCATGTGCGCAGGCAGCGGGTATGCATGTGCGTGGGCAGCGGGTAAGCATGTGCGCGGGCAGCAGGTAAGCATGTGGCCTAGGAAGCCACGTGCTGGCGAGTGAGGGGCATGTGGCGAGTGAGGGGCATGTGGCGAGTGAGGGGCATGTGGCGAGTGAGGGGCATGTGGCGAGGCAGGGGCATGCCGGCCAGAGGTTTGATTGTGATACTCAAGAATCTCCTATCCAGCTACGCACCCCCATGAAGGAACTAGCTTTGAGGAGAATAGAATAATTGAGTAAGGAGCCAAGAGGCTCTATTGTACAAACAAGGAGCAAGGAAGAGGTGAAAGGGAAGCTCTCCTATTGGCCTCAGTGTGGACCAATGGGAGAGGTTGCTTGGAAGGCACGCAACCACAAAGTGCGGTGCTTGGTGTTTGGTTGTTTCTTAGGACCATTTGGTTGGAATAGTGCCAACCAAATGTCTAGGACCAAATCCAATCTTGACAAACCCAAATGTGGGGGTTGGTCAACGCAACCAACAACCCCCCAAGAAATATAATGACTACACCTCTTTATCTGGGCATGCATGTTGTATATAAGAATATATATTACAACACCACACACCCCCTGCACCCACTCCCCTCTTCCCTACACACCCCACGTCCCAGGTCCTAGTGCAGACCCATATGCTGCTGATCGCACTCGACCCCACGGTACCGCAGTCCACCGCACAGCACATGCTTGCATCCATCCCCAACTCGTACGCGGAGATACTAGCTGTCACCTCGCTGCACGTGCGGCCAGATGTCGTCGCCACAAGCATCCTGCGCCACATCAGCATGCCGCTGCGGGACGCCCTCAGCCTCTCGTGCCGCCAGACTGTCAGCAGGCGATTCGCCATCCCTTCGTCCATGCTGCCGCCGGCCAGAGTGGTGGAAGAGGAGACGTGGGACTGAGGGGGTTCGCAGACGGCTCAAAATCAAGTCTTGAGCATTTTTAAAGGTTTAGATTCGCCATCCCTTCGTCGTGCTGCCCCCCTGGCGGAAGTGGTGGAAGAGAGGGGCTGGAGAGAACGGAGAGGGAAGGTGTGTTTGCAAGGGGTAACCTCTCTGCCAGCCCTTGGTTTACCTGTGCCGAGAGCAAGAAAGTGACGGATGGCACACAGGCGGGTGAGAGTGAGGGGGAGTGGGAGTGGGGATGGGATGTGAGGGGGAGTGAGGGGGAGTGGGCGTGAGGGGGTGGGAGAAGGCGGAGTGGGAGTGAGGGGATGGGATGGAGATGGAGTGGGGATGAGGGGGTGAGGCTAAGACGGAGTGGGAGTCTGGGGCTAGCCGCTAGCTCTGAGAGGGAGTGGCGGGGCCTATTAGGGCCCTGAGGGGGGCTGGGCAATGGACTCATGGTGGAGCAGACAAAGTGTATGGCTTTAAAACCACAAGCTAAAAAAGCACACCTGGGGCTCACCTGAAAGTTGTTTTTTTTTGGGTTGCAGAGCAACCTACTGCAATCGATCAGACCAATTTTTTTTTTTCATCCTAAACTTTAAAATAATAAAAAACAAAAAAAAACAAAAAACCACTAATCCTACAGAATTTTAAGCTGGTTAGCATATTTCTGTTACGTTCATTGTGTACTTAGTAGACTTTGTCGTGCTTGTAATTCGACGTAAAGATTGAAAATATGTGCACATATTTTCAGTTGACGCATAACAAATTACAAAGCAGGAAACTAATGTTAGCCTTGAAAGATTAAAGCGAGAGACTATAATAGTGACCCCCCTTTCTAGTTGGGCCCAACTAGAAATGACCCAACAGTGAATATGTGTTTGGAGGGGCAGGCAGCAGCCCCCGTTTTTTACACTGGCGACAAATTTTACGACCATAGATTTGCGTGGTTAGCATTTCGACCAATCGGGGCCCAGCCCCAGTTTTGCTGGTGTAGTGAACCCGGGTCCAACTTGAAATTCAAGTTGGGCCCGCTTGGTGCAGTTTACAGGCAGTGGGGGCTGGGCGACAGGTGGCGCGCTGCTTGCGATTTTGCCCGAGCCATTTTCCCCACCGTACGACATGTTTTCCCCGCCAACCAATCAGGTAACTGCATCTTCTCGCCCAGTTTCCCCTGCTTGCATTTCTCGACTGTGTACCCTCTGCCCCATCGCAGCTTTGTCCCTTAGTCGCAAAAACGGGCGTCTGGGCCTTTTCAAATTGGACCCGCCTTCACTATTTTGACCTCTCGCTTTAACTAGAATGAGGGAAACATGGTGGTTTTTTCTAAGGGGTTGTACCCTCTAAGAGTATACGCCTATCTAACCTATAAGGCATATACAAATATGTTTGACACAGCCCCTAGGCTAGATGAGGGGCAGTGCCTGACAAGAGACACACAGCTCAGGGTGGGACTACTATCCAACCTCAGAGGCAAGGGTTCGAAGTCCAGTCAGCAAGAGTACAAACTAAACAAGACTAACACAGGGTGGCAGTACTAGTCCAACCACTGGAACAAGAGCCACAACGCCAGTCAAGATCATATACGAGGAAGTATACATCAAGATCCTAGCAAGTGAGAAGCTTCAGGAACTAGACCAAGCTGTACACAGTGCCGCTGATGATCTTTAGGCGCAAGCAGTTAGAGTAGCGGGGAAAGTTGTGACTAACGGAAAATGTCGAGGGATAAAAAACTAGGGCTGTATGCACTAAGAACTAAACTCGCTAGGCTATAAACAAATATGACCTAGCTAAGCTACATAAATATATTTGTTGACACACCCCCTAGCCTAGATAGTGGCAGTTCATTAAAAAAAAGGCTAAGTACACCAGGGCAGCACTACTAGCCTGACCTCTGGTGAGGGCAACAAGGCAACTCAGGGCAACACTACTAGTCTGACCACTGAGACAAGAGGCCACAAGGCCAGTCAACAAGTATAGCAAGACAAGCAGGTATAGAACAACAAGTACAAGCAAGTATAGTATGACTCAGGATACAAAGAGTGGTGCTAATACGGAGACGAGACCAAGCTGAGTACAAAACCGCTGATGGTCACGAGGCGCAATTGCCTTGGTGAAGATATTAACGGCGTTGGCCTCTGAGGCCAACTCTACCACTCGAGCCTGGCCGCGCTGCTGCAACTCAGGTAGCAGGAAGTACCGCAGCTGGATGTGCTTCGCCCTGCCCTCAAGTCGAGCCTCCTGACATAGAAGGATCATGGCCCTGTTGTCAGCAAACAAGACCGGGACAGACCTAGGCTGCTCACCAAAGTCAGTGAGCAAGACCGTGCCAGCGAAGCTCCTGAGCGGCCATAGCCCCAGCATAGATCTCTGCCTCACAAATGGACTGAGCTACAAACGACGACCTGGTGGACCTCCAAGAGACTGCACGGGTACCAAGACTAAAACAGTAGCCCTGAGACGACCTGAGCGTCTTTACGTTGTCAGCCCACGACGTGTCTATGTGTCCAGTGAGCACCACTGACTCCCGTCCTCCTAGCACAAACCCCAGTCTTGATGTACTAGCCAGCTACCGCAGTACCCTCTTGGCAGCTGACCACTGGACTGGTCGGTGCCTGCCTGTCGCAACAATGCGAGCCAAGAAACTGAGAGGGTACGCTAGATCTGGTCGAGTGCAGGTCATCAGGTACATAAGACACCCCACCAGCTCTGTGTATGGACCACTAGCCTCGACCGGCTCAGCCGGAACAGGAACAGAGACCTTGTGATCCACAGGCAGAGGGGTGGGCTGTGCTGAGGAGAACTGGAGACAGAACCTCTGGAGAATCTGCTGCACCATATGGGACTGGGAGAGTGTGATCGTGCGAGCAGCACGGTCATGAGAGATCTCCAAGCCCAGATAGCGCCTCAGCTCCTCCAATTATGTACAGGTGTGTATTCTTAGCAACTCGGCCTTCACTGAGGCCAGTGCAACTCTGTAAGGAGTAGCAAAGATAAGATCGTCTACGTACACTAGAATGTAGAACGGTGTCTGACCTGTGCGAACAAAGAGAGCGGGGTCAGCAGAGGATGGAAAGAACAGCATCTCAGCAAGAGTGGTGCCAAGCGTGTCGTGCCACTCACAGGGTGCCTGACTAAGGCCGTAGATAGGACGGCGCAGGCTCCACTCGATCCCAGGTGGGAAGGACCCAGAGAAGCCTAGAGGGCACCGGAGGTAGATCTGCTCGTGCAAACTACCCTGTAGGAACGCTGTGGAGAAGTCGAGTGAGTGAAGCTCGTAGTCACGCTGCGTGGCTATGTGAAGGAGGACCCGAAGAGTAGTCATCTTCGGGGTCAGGGAGAAGGTTTGGAAGAAGTCCACACCCTCACGCTGACTGAAGTCTCTAGCCACATAACGCGCCTTGAACTTCGGCGGCTCTCCAGGTGTGCACTTCACCCTGTAGATCCACCTGCCATCAACTACGTTTGCCCCAGACGGGGGAACTGCGTCGACGTAAGTGCCTGTGGATTTGTAGGATGCCATCTCAGCCTCCATGGCCTGTATCCACTGGGCTGCCCAGGGCCCCAACACTGCCTCAACGTAAGAGCGCGGAGAAGGGTTGTCGAGAGCATCTGGGTTGCCCTCTGGGAATACAAGCATGGAGCACAGATGGGGAACAGCGGCAGCAAGGTAGGCCAACTCGTACTGCCCCTCCTCTAGCATGTCACTGCCAAGGACAGGTGCACCACTGACAGACAGAGGACGGGCAGTACCAGAGAATAGAGCGGCAGCGTAGTCAAGGCGGTGGCTAGCGGCGAAGTCACCGACAAAAGCGACAAGCGCAGAGACAATCTCAGGAGGAGCAGTAGGGTCAATGACAAGCGATGCAAGCAAGCGCGAGTGGGTAGGACGAGCCGCGAGAGCAGCGTCGGAGCGAGGAGGGGGGAACGACGGAAGCGACGATGGGGGAGGCAACGGGAGGGCTGTGACTGGAGGAGCACGTGAACGAAGAACCATAGGGTGGACAGTAGGACGAGGAGAGACACGACGAGCCCCAGAGGGGCAACAGACCCAGTGGGAAAGAACAGGGGAATGGGGATGAGGAGGAACAGGGGACAAGTTAGGGGATGGAGGGGAGCGCGGGGGAAAACGAGCCGGAGAGGAGTCCGGAGGACGGAACAACGGGCCGTAAACAGAGTCACGCACAGGAGGGGGAACGGGTGGGTGGACAGGGGAACCTGGAGCAAGACCAATGAGACGAAGGGCAGACTGCGACTGCTCCTGCTGCGGTGGCTGCGCCTGCTGCTGCGGCTGCTGCGGTGGCTGCCGCTGCGGCTGCAGCTGCTCCCTGTCCTCTCCAAGACGTCCAGCGGCATCGCGGCTGCCACCGGCACTCCCCGAGACAGCACCCCCAAGACGAGCACCCTCTGACGCACCACCCACAGAATCAGCACCCCCAGAGTCAACACCCCCAGAACTCGCACCTCCAGAACCAGCACCCCCAACACCAGCAGCCCCAACACCAACAACGCCAACACCAACATCCCCAGAACCGGCACCCCCAAAGCCCACTGCTCATTGCTATTGTTGCTGCAGCAGCTGCTGCTGTGACCGCTGAGTCTGCTGCGACAAAGGTTGCTGCTGCGGAGGCAAGGGAGGAGGCGGCTGAGGTGCCTTGGGTACCGAGGCTGGGGGGGGCGCCACAGGGACAGTAGGCGCGCCTCGAGCAGTTTGGGCCCCAGAGTCAGCCGACTCCCCCACAGGTGCAACCGAACTGAGTGGCGTGGGAGACACCAGACTGGGTTGGGCAGGGCGGGAGGGAAGCGGCAGGCAGGGCAGGGACAAGGAAGAGAGGATGAGGAGGCAGAGGAGCATTGCGGTGCGGGAAGCGACAGTACTAGGGGAGCTACTTGTCGAAGGTAACGTCACGAGAGTGGTAAAAGCGGTGGTGTGACTAATGGTAGAACAGCCAGTCAGAGGCGTCAAGCAGAAATCCCAGGAAAACACAAGGAAGGGTGCGGGCTGAGAGCTTGTCCGTGGCAGTGTCGTAGACGTTAGCAAGGCTGCCCCAAACGTGGAATGCAGATGCGTCACCGGGACACCCGGTCCAGAGGAGGGTCGGCGAAACCTGTGGCCGCTTGGAGTGCGGCCACAAGTTAAGCTGGTCAGCAGCGTAGCGCACAGTGAACGCCCACAGAAAATGGAGTGCACCGGCGTGGACCATGGAGGTGCGAGCCACCTCCATGATCAGGCCGATGCGTTGCTCAGCGACCCCATTCTGCTGTGGGGAGTCCGGTAGTGTGTACGTCTGGCGGATGCCCTGCGCAGGGCAGAAATGTCCTAGAGTGCAAGAGGCGAACTCGCCACCTCGGTCGGAGTGTATGCGACCTACAGGCAGGCGGTGGTAGGTGCGAACAGCAAGAAGCCATGGGAGGAGAACGGTAGGCATGTCGGCCTTCCGCTCTAGCAGGAACACTGTGGTGAACGGCGAGTTGTCGTCAACGACGACTAGGAAGTAGCGCTTCCAGCTAAGACCATGAACCGGGGTAGGGCCTCAGACGTCCATGTGCAGTGTCTGTAGTGGCACTGTGATAGGAGGAAACGAGGAA